TATTCGTGCTTCAACCATAATATAGCAGCCAGCCAGTAACTATATTGGCTCCACAACCTTTCCTTAAAACAGGATCATAACAGCAATTGCATGGCCAATTAGTAGCAATATTAGCAGTGTATAATCTTTTCTATCCGATCTTTTGGCAAAGGAAGATTCCTACTACCTATAAAAAACAAATATATCTTCTCCCATTCAGGTAGAACAAACGGATGTTTTTTCACTTGATAAATGTTTGACGAATATTTGATGCGTCGAATATACGAAAGCACTTTCTCGATCGTAATTAATCCGGTTGGGATTTTAAATCTGGAAATCAGACTAAAGAGTAGATTGAAATGTAAAATTAATTTCGTTACCAGCTCTTCGACTAAGTTCACGGTCGACTTGCTTCCAACATGTTGAACGCAATACATCAGCCAAATCGATTACAAGTGAAATGAATCTACCCCTGTAATTAGAGAACCTTTACACCTGCAACTTGATTAATGGCTATCGTATTATGAGGAAAATCTTACAAATATTGCTTTTATGGAGGCTGAATGTTATGAATTGTTATTACATTTTAACGCACATTTCATTGTTTTATCTAATGTGGGTATAGCCTTCTATTCTTAGAATATTGATAGGTCTTTGCGCGCTCAGCGAAGACTTATCAATAATCTAAGCTTCTATTCCTATTATCTAATCTTATATTACTATACTCCTTACTTAATGTATGTGATGTTTTATACAACTGGAATTGCTTTCAGTGAGTAAAATATACTTCCAAAACTCCATTATCCTGTGGGTGTCGTAAGAGGCAAGTATGGGAAATGAAACGAGATGGGCAGTAGCATCTTCCTGATGACACTGTACGAGTAACAACTATTGCCTATACCTCCTATAAGTAAACCCCTAGGGGAAGCCTATATTTGGTAATTTGCATTAAGCACTCCTTATTAATATGTAAAAAGCTAAAAATTACTAAAAAATCTAGTACTGAATACTTTGATTAAAATGAAAGAAAGCTGCTTAGCATATCGACTACTGAAAATATTATCCACCCTGAAACGGGAAGGGTCCAGCAGCAGAGGACTTTTAAGGGATGACGAGGAAGCAGAAGAAGAGATAATTTGCGTCGGCAGACCTTTTGTGATCCTTTTTGCTGATAACAAGGCAATTTCATTTTAGTTTCTTAGTTTCGTGTGTGACAACACGGGAGTATCTATGAACCTCAGCGTCGCATATTATATTGGACTTTGCACCATTCATAAAAATAAATATAATATTAGCAAATATAGTTGGAGTGATCCGTTAGAAGCTGATCTGCGCGCACTTCAAGCTGGAGAGGGAGTTATAGCATGTACTCGTGTAGGAGGTCTACTAAGTCCTTATTTCTAATGACATAGGAGTATGTGAGCGTACAAAAATGTCTACATGGTAGCTAGGACTTCTGTTGGCCTTAGGAGTCGGTCTGGTTAGGTACAACCCTCTTAACTAGCTCCAGCTGCCTGTTTTGGTCTGAAGAGTATATATGGAGAAAGAGAGAGAGAGAGAGAGAGAGAGAGAGAGAGAGAGAGAGAGAGAGAGAGAGAGTCTAGAGTAGTGGTGACAGATAGACGAGCACACAGCCCACCTGTTGGGAAGTGGATGCTGTGGCCCATAAACATCTACACCTTTCCTCGATTAAGAATCAAAATGCAGATGCGTAGTCACTCCTGAGGATTAAGATGGAATGCCTCGTTTCCAATTAAAAAAACCTCCGATTCTCAAAACTCACCCTACAAAACTTGAGCTGCATTTTTACGCTGGTATTCTGTGAGAGCATAGTCCATACCCGGTCGAGCCAACCCATTAGTGCTACAATCATAGATGCAGCATGACCTTACCACGTAAAAATGGTTGCAGATATTATAACGTTTTAGGTATTATAAAAAATGTGTCAGGTAAGTGCAGTAGCCGTTTATATCAAATGGACTATAAGTTTGCTTGTCACTAAATTTATGAAAATAATCTTATTGCTTGTCAAGTCCCGCTTAGTTCTGAGAGGGTTATGAATTACTAAAGAGTCAGTTAATCCAGTACTTATTGAATGATTGCAGTTACCGCAAAAATCGTACTACGTATACGTTACTATTTCTGTGACAGTTATATACTAATTGATGTATAAATTTCTCTACCATTAGCACGTAGTAGATAACACTAAAGTTGTAATTAACAATTTCATAGTTGAGTGCTCTAAATAAACTTGAATTACCGTAGTATTAAATATAATTACCATTATTATTTAAAACTATAAACTATAGAAATTTGAAGCACTAACAACCCTAGATTCAATGAGATAATATAATGGACCCTTATTCATCAATTAATTTTCAATAAACATAACTCAATATTTGTTTCAAGGGCAATAATGAAATCTGATATTATATAGTTGAAGTTTTTATAGAGAGAGTTTTTATAACAAGAATTTGTTATAGTTGACGATTATTTAATTAATTTTAATAATGTGTGTAATAATTCACTGAGCGCGTGTTCAAGTTAGGAAAAGCCCGTGGATATCTCGAATATTATGAATTAAGTTTTCATTAAAATATAAATCACCCAACTTCAGTGACCCAAGTACCTTAATGCCCATTTTAAATTATACATCATTATTTTTATTATATTTATGGTACTTCACTTTTTAAAATTTTATTAGTATATTTTATATTTACATTATTTTACAGTTAGTGCACTCCATTAATAAAAACATAATTATTTATCACCTTAATAACCGAAATTGCAAATATGTTCCAACCAAATGACTATTGCATAGGAGTTATGGCTCTTTTAAGCAACATTAAACATTATAATTGTATGTACGGAGATTCTTTTAAGCAAACTTTAAATTTATAACACACGCACAGACACATACACACACACACACACACACACACACACACACACACACACACACACACACACACACTCACACACACACACACACACACACACACACACACACACGCACACGCATGCGCACGCATATGCACCTAAGGTGAACGATATAACAGGTTACACCATAATATCATCTTTTGAACAACAAAACATAAGTTTTTCCAAACAGCGTGCATTTGTGTGCATGCAAAAAGCAAATACATATTCATGATGTTAGGGAGAGCTTACAAAATGCAGTCGGTTAATAGTTTCAGAAAGACGGCCAAGTTGTTATTCTTAATATAAATTAACACTGATTTCTACTCTAACGTATAATTAAAGTAAATAAATGTTTATTTATTTATTGTATTTATGAGCTTTAAAGTAGAGTTGCATACTATGAGACATATTTCAAATTAGGAACCCTAAGTATCTCATATTAGGATATTTTCATGCTTACATAGAAAAAGTGTATTATTTGAATATGCCATTTATTTAGTTGCAGCGCTGCTCTACCACGTATGTCGTTTATACGTGGTAGAGACAGGCTGCAGCTATATTATGGTTTCAGCACGAATGGGTCCGTTTAACCGAGGAAGTACCACGCTCACCAGAATACCAGCGTAAAATAGCAGCTTATTACTGCTTTGTTTTGTATGGTGAGTGACCAGAGATTCTTTTTGTCTTGGAAACGAGGCATCTGCGTTTTGATTCTTAATTGAGGTTAAATGTAGATGTCTATGGGCCACAGCATCCACTTAACATCAAGTGGACTATGTGCTCGTTTGTCACCCTCAATCTATAAAAAATATCAATTGTATAATACTCGATACCGCCCGCATTGTCCGCCGATTTCTTTCCCTTTCCTCCTAACCCTCGGCTGTTTGGTCTCTCCTTACTGAGGGCTTCCATCTGGCTGGGCTTTTATTTATTTATGTATTAATTATGTTAGTATATTTAATATATTTTATGTATATTCATTTATTATGTCATTTTATATATTTATTCAGCCCAACCAGATGAGAATACTTTATAAATAACCCAGATAATAATAATAATGATATAATTACCTTATTGCATGTGATATTTTACGGCAAATAGGCAAAAATGAAAAAGGTATCTCATATTTGTCACCTTTACCATATACTCGTACTAGAGGAGCCATGTTATCTCAGTTGGGACTTTATCCTCTTGTAATGGGTGTCACTTTGTGGCATAGTTTCCATATCCAACGAAATTATTAGAGTGAATTTGTAATGAAGCGAACACTGAATAATTTTACTGTAACAAATACGCCATATTAAAAGCCTCCCCCTTTAGGTGAGCAAATTAATACCAAATTTTTTTAATATGTGTTGTAGTTTAAAGAGCCTATAAACCTCTCTGCTAATTATGGACGTATTTGCAAAAGTAAAATATAGTCTAAATGCAGTGATAATTAATGTGTTTAATAAGTGTTGTGACGGTATTTGTGACTGATAAATGATCAAGTCTATCATATACCCGTCGACTCATATATTAATATCGTGAACATCACATACTGGTGTAAAATTAAACAACTATTCAACGCAACTAAGTGGCGGATTGGTTTCACACTCTCAAACGTTATCTTAGTGGTGCAAAATTGAAACTGCAAATTCTTTTTAATATTTTTTTTAAATCCTTTGTTTTAATATATGTTTTTTAATATATATTTTTTATATAAAATTTTGTTTCTATTTTATAAAAACTCTATTTCATTTTTGTGAGGCCAGACATTCAATTTTGTTATTATAGTTATATACTTTATAATTCGCGATGCCGAACACTCCGCTTTCAAGTGTCAAGTTGTTATGGGGTTGTTGTGATGGAGGATCTGCTCATGATGCATTCCTGCGTTGTACTAATTGTAAGAAAGTTTATCACAAATCTTGTCTTGCCTTACCTGAAAATAAGGACATGACAGAGTCATTATATGGTTGGAAGTGTCCATTATGTACAAGTAAAGCTACGAAATCATGGAAGGATGATAATAAGCCAGTATAGAACATTACTGTCAGAGGAAGCAAAAAACAAGCATATTCCCCCCCATGCAAAAGCCGATACCCCAGGGACTAGAGATGATAGTAAAAGAAATAGTGCGGACTGTGATACAGAAAGAAATGGAGAGCCTCTATAATAAAACAAGTAAAAGTGTATTGGACACATTGAATAAGCAGCTAAAGGATGTAAGTGAAGAATTATCAAAAATAAAGGAATCTATGGAGTTTATGAACGCTGAATTTGAAGAGTGTAAAATGGAAACTTTAGCTATGAAAAAAGTTATAAAGAGCTTCAGGATGAAAATTGCAAAGTAAAATCTGTTGTTCAGGAACTAACGATACGCGTCAACCAACTGGAGCAAAGTGCACGATCATCAAATGCAGAAATCCAATGCGTTCAAGAAAGGAAGTCGGAAAATGTGTTAAATATTATTAAAGATATATTTAAGGTAATTAACTGTAACATAAGCGAAGATAAAATTGTTAACTGTACACGCATTGCAAAAATAAATCGGAGCAGCCCCCGACCACGTTCAATTATTGTTCAGTTTACAACACCTTTCATACGCAATCAGTTCTTGGCTTCAGCGATTAAATTTAATAAAATGGATGTCTCCAACAAGCTTAATTCAACTCATCTCGGCTTCCTCGGAAGTAAGATTCCTATTTATATAACGGATCATTTGTCTCTAGCCAACAAAGCCTTGCATGCAGCCGCCAGGATAAAAGCGAAAGAAATAAACTTTAAATACGTTTGGGTGAGGAATGGACGAATCTACATGAGAAAGGACGACAATTCTAACTATCACCTCATCAAAAACATGAGCCTCCTGGAGAAATTAGTATAATCTTCTTAGTTATATATAGATCTAATAATAATTTATGTTCAATATTTTTAACTAAAAGACGATAATTTACAGTTAAGTATTTACTACCAGAATGTACGTGATGAGCAAACAAAAACTTTATATTTTTACCGTAAATTGTGCTGTTTCGATTATGATATCATCATATTGACTGAAACATGGTTGAATCATACGATTATAAATAATGAGCTATTTGATAACAGATATGTAGTGTACAGAAGGGACAGGGAAACTACCGGTTTTCATTATAATAAAGATGGTGGAGGAGTATTGATAGCTGTATCTAGTAGACTAAAGTCAAAAAGAATGATTATGTGGGAAAGTAAATGTGGGGATATTTGGGTTACTCTAGATGTTACAGATGAACTATTTTCTAATTGCCTTTTGTGCTATCTATATTCCTCCACCAATTTAGTTTAAAATATTGGAATGTTTTCTTAGTAACTGTAACTCCTTGTTTGAAAGATTGAAACTAAAGACTTGCATTGTTGGTAATTTTAACTTACCTAACGTTAATTGGAATCTCGTCAATGAATTGAATAGCAATTATTCTGCTCCCTTTATGGCTCAAAGTCTCACAGATTTCTGTTACATTAATAAATTACGACAGTGCAATCTCGTCGAAAATAAAATGGGGAGAATCCTGGATTTAGTTCTAATAAATTGTTCACATTGCATTGTTAATGAGGAATATGATATATTGAGCAATATAGATCCTTTAGATCCTCCAATTGAAATACAACTACTTATATCTGAGAAGCATAAACTAAAATACAAATCTAATATCAAAAAGCGTAATTTCTATAAAGCTGATTATGATAAAATTCGTGAACATTTAAGTAAAATCAATTGGGATGTGTTATTTAAGGGGTTGGATGACATAAATAGTATCGTCTCAGTTTTTTATAAAATTATAAATTTAACAATAGAAAAATTTGTCTCATGGAGTACGATCAAAAGAAGTAAATATCCTATTTGGTTTAATTGGAGTCTGATTAATGTAATGAAAGAAAAAAATAAGGTAAGGTCTAGGTATAAAAAATATAATAACGCAATGGATTTACTCAGCATAAAGTTACTTAATAAGAGATGTGGTAAATTAGCTAAAACCTGCTACTACGCTTATATAAAATATATAGAAGATAATATTGCCATAAATTATAAAACTTGTTGGTCTTATATCAAAATTAAACGACTTGGGAATAGTAAGTATCCGAGTGCAATGACTAATGGTAGTGTAATGATAACAGATGGGTGTGATATACGCAAACTTTTTACCTCACATTTCTCCTCAGTATACACCGTGGACAACCTTAACAGGCTTGATAAATATGATTTAAATAACGAATATTTAAAATATTTAGATAACAGTAATTATCATTTTGGCACCTTGATTTTGGATGAAAAATCATTTTTAAAAAAAATTAAAGGGCTTAGACCGAAAAAAAGGAGCTAGTCCAGACGCTATTTCACCTTACTACATCGCTGAATGTGCCATAGACCTATCTACTCCTCTTTGTTTTATATATAATAAATCTTTACAAACAGGACGCTTTCCAGATATGTGGAAGGTCGCTAAAGTTGTTCCTATACATAAAGCGGATGATGACATTTTGATTAGTAATTGTAAACCGATTTCAATGTTATCAATCTTTCTCAAAATATTTGAATAATTAGTATGTCCCTATATTCAAAATTATGCAAGACAGTTTATTACAGATGACCAACATGGATTTGTCAAATTTCGTTCGACTAGCTCTAAAAGATATGCACAACAAATAGATGTAATATATACTGATTTCAGTAAGGCTTTCGATCGAGTGTCACATGTATGCTCTTAAGAAAGTTAGGAGCTTATAGTTTTGCAGGCCCTATTCTCATGTGGTTAAGGTCTTATCTAGAAGGTCGAAAGTATTTTGTTGTTATTAATGGGTTCAATTCTGATGTATTTCCCATCACATCCGGAGTTCCCCAAGGATCAGATATGGGGCCAATTTTATTTAACATGTTTATTAACGATATTCCTAATTGTTTCTTACATTCCAATTGTTCAATTGTCAAAATTCAAATTCAAAAATCGTCAGAAATGATACTTCTTCAGGAGGATTTAATTAGACTTTCCAAATGGTGCGACCTTAATGGAATGAATCTTAATCTAAAAAAATGTGTACACGTTCAATTCACGCGCAGAAATAATATTATTCCATCGGTTTATACCCTCAATGGAATAGTTATCCAAGAAGTGGAAACTGTTAAGGACCTAGGTGTAGTATTCGATAAAAAGCTTACATTTATACCACAACTAGAAAGTGTTATTAAAAGATCATCTCAATCATTAGGTTTTCTTATAAGAAACAGTAAAGAATTCCGTAATGTTACCACAAAAAACTTTTATACTACTCAATTGTTGGAAGTATATTAGAATATTGTAGAACAGTCTGGCGTCCCCATTATTCTACCCATACCCTACCGCTTGAGCGCATACAAAAAAGATTTTTATGGCATCTTGCCTTTTCAACACGAAAATCATATAAAAATGCATCATATTTGACAAATTAAAGACATTTAACATGGTTTCACTGTCTAAACGCCGAGATATTCTAACAACTTTTATTGCAACTCTACTCGTCTTTCGCCGCCCCTTCGTAGATCTGTACTAGGATCTAATTCCCCAACACCCAGACTTTGCAGACTTTTAAATACTTATAATAATGTAGTAGATATTCACCACGCCTCTTAACGTTTTTCGATACAAAATATATCAAACTATTAATATTTCTTTGTAGTACCTAATTTTTTTTGTATTACTTTAATTTTTTTTGTAATTGTGTATTGTATATTTTTAGCTATTATGTAAAGGCTTGTAGGGAATGCTGTGAGCACTAAGCATGCGGTGTTTACCTATTATTGAATGTGCACTTAGTTTATATCACTGTCTTAGAATTAAGCAAATGTATTAGTGTAACATTTGTTGGTGAACCAAATAAATAAATAAAATAAAATAAATACCTGTGAAACACTCAGGTTCGGTTCACGGTAAAAGTTATTGAATTATTGTTATTGATTAAATATATTAAGTTAACAGATTAGGATAATAGTCAAATTTCTAGAAATAAATAATCGTGTAGAGTCGATTAATTCGCATACCCTCAGAACCCTAAGGATATTAATAGCGTAAGATAGATTTTTTATTTAATTTTAATAAAGTGTGTTAGCCCACTTTAAAAAAACTAAAAAGAAAACTAAAAGAACACACTTTCAAAAATCGGTTCTAAGCCATAACATACAGAAGTCATAGTAAGTACTAAAACTCCGACCGCAGAACCTAATAAGTGGATTTTTTACAGGTCCTTGAATACGTGGTAGAGCCATGCTGCAGTTATATTAGTAGTGTAGTTGTAGCACGAATGGGTCAGCGCGACCGGGGAAGGACCACGCTCCCACAGAATACCAGCGTAAAATAGTAGCTTAATGCTGCTGTGTTTCGAATGGTGAGTGTAGAGAACCGGAGACCCTTTTTAGTGGAAACGCGGCGTTCCATCTTAGTCCTCACGGGTGATAACGCATCTGCATTTTGATTTGTAATCGAGGATAGATGTAGATGTCTATGGGCCGCATCGACCACTTACCATCAGGTGTACTGTGTGCTCGTTTGTCACCTTATCCTATAAAACAAAAAAAGGTTGGCTTTTACTTTTTATTAAAAGTTTAACTTTTTGACGCCTTTGATTACCCGGGTCGGGCAAATATCAGTTATGCTTTCTGTAAAGAAATTCTAATCCTAATTTCTCTTTCTTCCTGTTAGATTGCCGTCACATCGAATTATTAGAGTGAGGGAATAGAGGGTGCACCTCTCTCACTATAATAATGTCCTGTGTAGATGGCTGGTATCCCTTGAGAGAGATCACCGTAAACGAAATTCAGTCTGAAGGACATTATTATAACCATTGCTGAATAATCGAAAGTCTTTACACTTAAAAGTCTTTACTTTAAAACATTTTAATGTGATAAAATATAATATGAATATTATTATAGGACAGGGTGATACACGAGCACATAGTTCACCTGATAGTGGAGAGTGTAGAGGTGGATGCTGTGGCCTGTAGACATCAACATTTATCATTGATCACGAATCAAAATGCGGTTGCGTTTTCACCCGTGAAGACTAAGGTGAAATGCCTCGCTTCCAGTAAAAAGGGTCTCCGGTTCGCTGCACTCATCATACGAAATACATCAACATTAATTTACTATTTTACGCTGGTATTCCGTGAGAGCGTGGCCCTTCCCCGGTCGAGCCGGCTCATTCGTGCTACAAATATACTGCTAACATAACTGCAGCGTGGCTCTACCACGCATAAAGTTTAGTATAGTAATCGAGTAGTGATGATGTCAGAATAGCCACCTACTCATACTGTCCCGTGGTAGTTGTAAGAACCCACAGAAGGAAAC